AACGGTCAACTGGACAATGGTAAATGGTAAATGGACCTGTACTTGTATAGCGCCTTTCTAGTCTTCCGACCACTCAAAGCGCTTTTACACTACGTGCCACTACGTGCCTTTCACACACATTCACTCAGTGATGGCAAAGTCCATCGAACAGAAACTAACATTCATACACATTCACACACCGATGCATGGCATCGGGAGTTCAGTATCTTGCTCAAAGATACTTCGACATGTGGAGCCAGGGATCGAACCCACAACCTTCCGATTAAGGAACAACCCGCTCTGCCTCTGAGCCACAGCCGCCCTCACAATGTATGTCCTATACAGTAAACTATATAATATAAACTGTAAACTGTATAATGTGAACTGTAAACTGTATAATGTAAACTGAATAATGTAAACTGTACACTGTAGTGTGAACTGTATAACGTATAATGTAAATTGTATAATGTACACTGCATAATGTATAATGTAAACTATATAATGTATAATGTAAACAATATTATGTATAATGTAAACTGTATAATGTATAATGTAAACTGTAAACTGTACACTGTATAATGTAAACTGTATAATGTATAGTGTAAACTGTACACTGTATAATGTAAACTGTATTATGTATAATGTATAATGTATCATGTAAACTGTATAATGTAAACTGTATTATGTATAATGTATAGTGTAAACTGTACACTGTATAATGTAAACTGTATTATGTATAATGTATCATGTAAACTGTATAATGTATCATGTAAACTGTATAATGTATCATGTAAACTGTATAATGTAAACTGTATTATGTATAATGTATAGTGTAAACTGTACACTGTATAATGTTTAATGTAAACTGTATAATGTATAGTGTAAACTGTACACTGTATAATGTAAACTGTATAATGTAAAATGTATAATGTAAACTATATTATGTATAATGTAAACTTAGCACAAAAAGTAAGGAAATTTGTGTTTTGTAGATTATTTCTCTGTGGTAACAATGCTTTTTGGCAATAAATCTTATACCTTTGGAAAGCCTGTTTAGTTCCCTTTCAAACGGTGCCCCATTTGTAAGGAACATGCATTTGTGGGATGAGCAGCAGCGCTGAGTATGTGGGTTGCGCCCATGAAAAATTTGCCAAATCTTTTCTGCCATTGCCAAACAGGTTATTTTGCTGTTGCTATTGACACTTGTTTTGAGCTTCTGGTACCCCCAGGTGCTGCCAATCAGGTGCCTGATTGGCACTGATTGGGGCAATAGGGCAACTTCAAGCTGGTGTTCCGCAAAACCAAGTTGCGGCATTATTTGGAGTGAGCCCTAGTACCATCTCCAAACTGAAGGCCAAGTTCCATATAACAGGGGATGTCAAAGACAGGCTGCAAAGTGGGCATCCCAAGAAGACGACACCCCAAGAAGACCATTTCCTTACAATTATATGTCAGCACTTAGGTGCCGTAGGCTGTCTTCTACAGATTTGCAGTCAAGGTTTGCAGGACGATATGGTCGACAGCTCTCTGCCCAGACAATCCGGAACAGACTATACGCAGCCAATCCCCGGTCTCATAGGGCTGTCAGGAGTCCTGCCATGACTGCCCTTCACCGTCAGGCCCGTTTGCGCTGGTGTCTGCAACACATGCACTAGAACCTGACCATGTGGAGGAACGCTATGTTCAGTGATGAGTCCAGATTCTGCCTATGGCAGTTGGATCATAGGGTCAAAGTGTGGAGAAGACGCAGAGAACACTATGCTGTTGCTGCACCGATAGAATAACATCTTTTGGTGGAGGCAGTGTGATGGTGTGGGGCGGCATCTCCCTCACAGGAAAAACGAGGCTTGTCATCATTGGAGGCAATCTCAATGCAGAGAGATATAGAGATGAGATTCTGCAACCAGTGGCAATCCCATATCTCCACAGTCTGGGACCGAACTCTATCCTCCAAGATGACAACGCTGGCCCCCACAGGGCGGGGTTTATCAGAGACTACCTCCAGAATGTGGGAGTGGAGAGGATGGAATGGCCTGCCAGCAGTCCTCACCTCAACCCCATTGAACACTTTGGGATCAGCTTGGGCGTGCTGTTTGTGCCAGAGTGACCAACACAACCACGTTGGCTGACTTGCGACAAATGCTGGTGACCAGCATGAGGAGGAGGTGCCAGGCTGTTGTGGCTGTGAATGGTTCTTCCACACGCTACTGAGGCTCCTGTTTGTGATATGAATAAATTGTTAAATTGCCAATATGTCTTGTTTCTTCAAACTTCAATGATCCAATCCACCAAACGAGTCAATGGCAGAATAACTTGTTTGGCATTGGCAGAGAAGATCTGGCAAATTGTTCATGGGCGCAACCCACATACTCAGCTCTGCTGCTCATCCCACAAGTGCATGTTCCTTACAAATGGGGCACCATTTGAAAGGGAACTAAACAGGCTTTCCAATGGTATAAGATTTATTGCCAAAAAGCATTGTTACCACAGAGAACTGTATAATGTATAGTGTAAACTGTACACTGTATAATGTAAACTGTATAATGTAAACTATATAATGTATAATGTAAACTGTATAATGTAAACTATATTATGTATAATGTATAATATAAACTGTATAATGTAAACTATATTATGTATAATGTAAACTGTATAATGTATAGTGTAAACTGTACACTGTATAATGTAAACTGTATAATGTATAATGTAAACTATATAATGTATGATGTAAACTGTATAATGTAAACTAGATTATGTATAATGTAAACTGTATAATGTAAACTATATTATGTATTATGTAAACTGTATAATGTATAGTGTCAACTGTACACTGTATAATGTATACTATATAATGTATGATGTAAACTGTATAATGTAAACTATATTATGTATAATGTATAATGTAAACTGTATAATGTAAACTAATAACCCTAGGTTCCTCTTCAGCACTGTAGCCAGGCTGACAGAGAGTCACAGCTCTATTGAGCCACATATCCCCATAAACTTAAGTAGTAATGACTTCATGAGCTTCTTCTATAATAAAATTATTACTATTAGAGAGAAAATTAATCACCAACTGCCATCAACAGTTATCAGTGGCTCTCCAAGTTCAGGGACTTCTGTCAATGTAAACTTAGATATATATTTAGACTGTTTTTCTGCTATCGATCTTCATCAGTTAACTTCAATCATTTCTTCATCGAAGCCATCAACCTGTCTATTAGACCCGATCCCAACTAGGCTGCTTAAAGAAGTTGTTCCCTTAATTGGCACTTCTTTACTGGATATGATTAATCTTTCTTTATTATCAGGATATGTACCACAGTCCTTTAAAGTAGCTGTAATTAAACCCCTTCTTAAAAAGCCCACTCTTGACCCAGGGGCTTTAAATGGCAAATGGACCTGTACTTGTATAGCGCCTTTCTAGTCTTCCAACCACTCAAAGCGCTTTTACACTACGTGCCACATTCACCCTTTCACACACATTCACTCAGTGATGGCAAAGTCCATCGAACAGAAACTAACATTCATACACATTCACACAACGATGCACGGCATCGGGAGCAATTCGGGGTTCAGTATCTTGCTCAAGGATACTTCAACATGTGGCACCAGGAGCTGGGGATCGAACCCACAACCTTCCGATTAAGGAACGACCCGCTCTGCCTCTGAGCCACAGCCAACTATAGACCGATTTCTAACCTCCCTTTCCTCTCTAAGATTCTGGAGAAAGTAGTCGCCAAAGAGTTGTGTGACTTTCTACATAACAATAGTTTATTTGAGGATTTTCAGTCAGGATTTAGAGTTCATCACAGCACAGAGACAGCTCTGGTTAAAGTTAATAATGACCTTCTGATTGCTTCTGACAATGGACTTGTCTCTGTACTTGTATTATTAGATCTTAGTGATGCATTTGACACCATTGACCATAATATTCTTTTACAGAGACTTGAGCATCAAATTGGCATTAAAGGAACCGCACTAAGCTGGTTTAAGTCATATTTATCAGATCGCTCGCAGTTTGTACATGTTAACGATGAATCTTCAATAAATACTACAGTGAGTCATGGAGTTCCACAAGGTTCTGTACTTAGAACAATACTATTTACTTTATATATGCTCCCTTTAGGCAACATTATTAGGAATCACTCCATTAACTTTCACTGTTATGCAGATGATACGCAGTTATATCTATCAATCAAGCCCGATGAAATTAATCAATTATCTAAATTACAAACATGTCTTAAGGACATAAAATCCTGGATGACCTGCAATTTTCTGATGTTAAACTCAGAAAAAAACGAAATTCTTGTTCTTGGCCCCAAAAACCTTAGAGACTCACTGTCTAAAGATATAGTTACTCTAGATGGCATTAACCTGGCCTCTAGCACCACTGTCAGGAATCTCGGAGTTATCTTTGATCAGGATTTGTCATTTAACTCCCACATAAAGCAGACCTCTAGGACCGCCTTCTTTCATTTACGTAATATTAGAAAAATTAGACACATACTATCACAGACAGATGCAGAAAAACTAATCCATGCATTTGTTACTTCAAGGCTGGATTACTGCAACTCTTTATTATCAGGTTGCCCCAATAAGTCCATTAAAACGCTCCAATTAATTCAGAACGCTGCAGCACGAGTACTGACAGGAACTAGAAAAAGAGATCACATCTCTCCTGTACTAGCTTCTCTGCATTGGCTCCCTGTAAAATGTAGAATAGAATTTAAAATCCTCCTCCTCACCTATAAAGCTCTTCATGGTCAGGCCCCTTCATATCTTAAAGAGCTCATAGTACCCTATTACCCCACTAGAACATTACGTTCTCTGAATGCTGGGCTACTCGTGGTTCCTATAGTCTCTAAAAGTAGAACAGGAGCCAGAGCCTTCAGTTACCAAGCGCCTCTCCTGTGGAACCAGCTTCCAGTTGTGGTTCGGGAGGCAGACACCCTCACCACATTCAAGAGTAGGCTTAAGACATTCCTCTTTGATAAAGCTTATAGTTAGGGCTGGATCAGGTGAGTCCTGAACCATCCCTTAGTTATGCTGCTATAGGCCTAGACTATCGGGGGATTTCCCATGGTGCACTGAGCTACTCTCTTCCTCTCTCTTTCTGCACTCATTCATGTCCCATTAATGCATGTTACTAACTCCACTTCTTCCCCGGAGTTCTTGTGCTTTCTCGTCTCGCAGGTTCTCATGGATCCTGGTGGAGCCTCCTGCCATGGTCCTGCTTGACTGCCATTGCCAATACTGTTGTTGCTGTGCACCTGTCTGTCTGTCTGTCTCTCGCTCTCTCTCTCTCTGCCTCTCTCTCTCTCTCTCTCACCCCAACTGGTCGAGACAGACGACCACCCACCTAGAGCCGGAGGATCTGTCCTAGGTTTCTGCCTTTTAACAGGCAGTGTTTCCTTGCCCTTGTCGCCAAGTGCTTGCTCATGGTGGTACTGTTGGGTCTCTGTAATTAATGTTAAAGAGTTCGGTCTAGACCTGCTCTATTTGAAAAGTGTCCTGAGATAACTTCTGTTATGAATTGGCGCTATACAAATAAAATTGAATTGAATTGAATTGAATAATGTAAACTGTATAATGTAAACTGTAGGCGTGTCATTTACCTTTCTTGTCCTCACTGTCTCCGCCTCCACTATTCCCCTCCTCACCTGCAGACAAGAAATCATCATCATCATCATCACACAGACTAACAAAGTAATGTTAGTTCTTTGGGATGTTGCACGTTTGGCAACGCCCCCATCAGTGATCAGTCACAGCCCAAGTTGACACCTGGAATTCTGGAATTCTGGGGAAAACCTCAACACAGCAGTGGTCAGCTGGGGGCTCATCAATAACTGAAACCCTCCAAGTGCCTTTCACTCTGGGCACATCTGGATAAAAAGGAGAGTCCAGCCCCAATCCAGTAGCCCAGACTAGGTCTACTTGGTCCTGCTCCACAACCAGCTTTGTTCCCACCAGAGACGTTCCACAGACATAGATCCAGTTTTCGCAGCCTCAGAGGAAAGAAGAGTGGATAAACTTTATTTTACCACGGACGGTACTTGTGTGGTTCCTTTCTAGTCTTCTGACCACTCAAAGCTCTTTTATACTACACGCCACATTCATCTTTTCACACACAGTGATGCAGCATCAGAAGCAGTTTGGGGTTCAGTATCTTGCTCAAGGACACTCCCGCTGCACAACATGCAGCGGGAGGAGCCGGGGATCGAACCAACAACCTTCTGATTAGTGGACGACCTGCTCTAAATCCTGAGACACAGCCGCCCCTAACGAGGGCTGGTAATTGTCCTGAGGTAAGTTCTGTTGGTTTCTGTTGTTGTCCTGCTGAACTTTGCTTTAGCATGTTGCTAAGTGTCATCAGGCTGGAAAATTCTGGACTAATGTTGTAATAATGAGGGGAAGTAGAGAGAAACTGTGTGAACATTGAACCTAATTTAAAGCAACTACATTACAACAGCAGTAGGTTGGATGTCAGTAATTGTCAGATTTAGTTCAAATAGAAGTAACTTTTTTCACATCAAGCGATTGATTGATTGATTGAAGAGTAGTTACTGGTGCTGTAGGAGACGGCTGCCTCTCCAGTAGCTCTCCAGTTTTTAGCTCTTTTAACCTATTTTTAACCTCTTTCTTTCTACTTTTTTTTTTACTCTTCTTGCGAAGAGATGGTGTGCTTATATCCTATGGATATTTCTTACTTCTCACTTACTCAAGAGAAGAACTGCTGGCTCTGCGCACAAAGGGACGAGCCGGGATACGACACCCCATCCCGGCGGAGCTGAGGAGGAGACCCAGGGGCTGCAAGGCTGGGGTTAAGCTAAAGGCGAAGCTATCGGAGGAGCTACAAGCCATCGATTCCCTCCATAATCATGGGGAACGTTAACTCGCTGCCAAACAAGATCGACGAGCTGTCCGCGCTGAACAACCAGCGGATCTACTGTGAGAGCAGCTTGTTCATCTTTACAGAGACACGGCTAAACCACCTTGTACTGGATGCTAATGTGGACCTGCTGGGATTCACTGCCGTGAGAGCCGACAGAGACACAAAAGCGAGCGGAAAAAGCAAAGGTGGGGGACTCATCATGTATGTCAACAACCGCTGTCAACAACCACTGGTGTAACCCAGGACATATCTCTAAAGACAGTCTGATGTTGCCGGGACCTCGAGCTGCTACCTGTTAGCCTGCGGCCATATTATCTATCGAGGGAGTTCAGTCATGTGATCACCGTCTGTGTTTACATCCCTCCGAGAGCGGACGCAGCCACTGCCTGTGAGAAGATCCATTCTGTGACAGCAAGGCTGCAGACACAGCACCCTGAGGCCTTTATGTTCATCTCTGGGGACTTTAGTCATGCAACTTTGGACTCTACTTTGGCTGTTTTTCACCAGGTTGTAGACTGTCCTACCAGAAACAACAGGACAATTGATCTCCTGTATGCTAATGTGAGGGATGCATACAGAGCGACTCCCCTCCCCCCACTGGGGAAGTCTGATCACAACCTGATTCACCTACAGCCACTGTACACCCCCCTGGTCCAAAAACAGCCGGTGACAACTCGCACCATCAGGAGGTGGTCCCCTGAGATGGAAAGTGCCCTGAGAGACTGTTCCAACACCACAGTCTGGGATGTGCTGATCAACCCGCATGGTGAGGACATAGAGGCGATGACACATTGTCTGACGGATTACCTGAACTTCTGCGCAGACGTGGTCTCCCCTGTCAAGACTTTCCACTGTTACCCTAATAACAAGCCATGGGTAACGCCGGAAGTCAAAGCTGTCCTCAACAAGAAGGCTGCCTTCAGGAGCAGGGACAGGGAGGCCATGAAGGCAGCACAGCAGCAGGTGAAACACTATGTGAGGGAAGCTAATGGTGCTATCCATTTGTCTAGTAAACCCGGAGCCCAAGTTGGAAAGTGTAAATCTCGCAGCCATCTCGCAACATTTCACCGAGACACACCCCCTTGTGGCCGTAATTTCAGCCGTCCAGCTCTTGGTACCTCACAGTACACCGAGCTAAACGAGGACGAACGTACGACCCACAAAACAAAGATGGCTGCGCCCATATTGAGGTGTATTTTCTTTGTATTTGTTCTACGTCTGTTGTTTTAATGTCGATTTTAAATGCTCTTACACACGCTGCTTTAGTCCGGTCACCAGTTTATACATTGCACGGTGTTGCTGTGAGTTCAATACAATGTAAACTTTTGTTTTCAAGCTGGTTTGCTAAATAGGCTAATGTAGCTAACAATAACACTAGCCTGCCACTGCCCCTGGAAGCCCCTGGAGGCCCCTGGAGGCTCCTGGTGGCCCCTGGAGGCTCCTGGTGGCTGCTAGAGGCTCCTGGTGGCTCCTAGAGGCTCCTGGTGGCCCCTGGAGGCCTCTGGTGGCTCGAGACAAACGCCACAGCACTTGTTGAAATTGAAATAGGCAAAAATGGCAAAATATTATTGAAATGTAAGACTTGCAATAACGGAATTACTTGAAATGTTAGTGTTTCTGTAGAAAAACATTTTATTATTTCACATTGACCTGAAACAGTACCCAAAAGCAATAACAACACAGCTGCTGCACTGGTGGCGTCCATGTTCTTTCCGACTCGTAATGCCCAAAGACAAATGGAACGCTATAAGTGGTACAAGCCAGGCAATTATGTCACGTTCTCGTGGCAGAGCAACTCGGGCGGGGGATTTACGAGACAAATGGATAGCAGCAATAGCTGCGAGATTTAAACTTTCCAACTCGGGCTGGGGGTTTACGAGACAAATGGATAGCACCATTAGGACAGCTACAGGAGAAAGGTGGAGCAGAAGCTGAGGGAGAACAACATGAGGGAGGTCTGGGAAGGTGTGAGGACCATCACAGGTCACAGACCAGAGCTAAGGGGGGACAATGGAGAGGGCGATCGAGCTGAATGACTTCTTCATCAGGTTTAACCAGCCCTTGTCCATCGTTGGATGTATCAGGGGTCACAGAGAGGAGGAGTATCGGAGTCTGGTGGGGGACTTTGCTCTCTGGTGTCACACTAACCACCTACAGCTCAACACCTTTAAGACGAAGGAGCTGGTCATTGACTTTGGGAGGTCCAGACCAAGAGCGTGACCAGTCCTGCAAAGCAGACACAAAGCAGGTTGTACTTCCTGAGGAGATCGCGGTCTTTCAACATCTGCAGCAAACTGCTATGGATGTTTTATCAGTCTTTGGTTACCAGTGTCCTCTTCTACACTGTGGTGTGCTGGGGGGGCAGCATATCCAAGAAGGACACCTCCAGACTGGATAAACTGATCAGGCGAGCTGGCTCTGTGGTCGGCATGAAGCTGGACTCACTGGTGACGGTGGCAGAGAGGAGGACACTGGACAAACTGCTGGACATTATTGACAATGCCAGCCACCCCCTGCACACCGTCCTCAGCAACCAGAGGAGCCTGTTCAGTGAAAGGCTGCTCCTCCCCAAGTGTAGGACCAACAGACTCAAGAACTCCTTTGTCCCTCATGCCATCACACTCTACAACTCCTCACTCTGGGGTAGGAGGAAATAGGGTAAAGAGGGCAGAAGGAAAGGAGTGGTAGCTACTCACTGTGCAATAGCTGTGCAATAACTGTGCAATAATAATCTACTCATACATACCTGGACACTCTTCTTACTTATTTCTTTTCTTACTCATTTTTTTGTGCAATAACTTGATCCACCACTTAAGTGCAATAATTTAATTTAACTGCTAATTTCTGCTTAATGTCATTTATCGACTGTATAACAACACAATACCATATACTGTCCTATATATTTATCTTTATTTATCTATATGTTTCCTCTGTACAGTTCTCTACATTTATCTTATTTGATTTCATTTTCCGTGAATTTTATCTTATTTTATTTTTATTCTTATCTCTACTTTCTATATATAGCTAAGAGTTTATTGTTTACTGATTATTGTCTACTTTCTATATCTAGCAAAGAGTTTATTGTTTATCTTGTACTATATTTTTTTTTTTATACCTCTTTATTTTTCTACACTGTTTTGTAAGCTGCTGGAAATTCAATTTCCTTGCGGGAGTCATCCCAAAATGATCAATAAAGAGAAGTCTAAGTCTAAGTCTAAGTAGACTAAGTCAACCAAGATTTACTCAACTGCCCCAGAATGCATTGCGTGCATGAGTGTACTTCAGTGTTTTTTTTTGTATATTTTTATTAATATACTGTTTTGGGGCTTTTTGCCTTTAATGGACAGAGAGAGGGGATGATACATAACAAAGATCCATAGGTCGGATTTGAACCCACACCTGCTGCTGCAAGGACTCAGCCTACAGGGAGCCAGTTCTACCAGGTGACCTACCAGGGTGCCATGGCACATTAGTACACTGTGTGATTTCAAACACAGCCCAGATTTCCTCATACCACAAATACACAAACCTGATTTAACTTCCTGCTGCCCCAAAATGTCCAGATCAGACAGGAAGGAAGTTTCTGGAAGGAAATATCAGAAGAAGAAGAAGAAGAAGAAGAAGTGTGTGAGTGAAAGAGGAAACATTCAAATCTGTTAATGAGAAGGTTTTTCAT